CATTGTTTTTAAAATACTCTTTTAAATTTTTCTTTTTCCTTTTCAATGCCTTAGGAAACTTTCTCAACTTGAATTCTTTATTTTTCAAATGTCTACTTCTATTCAACAACAATTGATAATGTTCTACCCAATTTGGCCATTGCAATCCTTTCACTAAATTAGGCAATTCACTCATGTTTGTCCTCTCCCAATATATCTTGATCTTACTTTCTCCTTCCACCTCTAATCGATTTTTTGATAAATCTTTAAGGATCGAACATAAATTAACAACGCTGTTATCAAGAACACTATTGGCAGCATTAAATTGCTCCTCCTTTTTATCTATTCTGCTGAGTATTTTTTGATATGCTTTTGTTTTTTCTCCAATTTTCTTTTCATTATTTAATTCTGCTGCTATATTGATATTATTCAACATAATTTTTTTCTTTGATTTCTTCTTGGCAGCTTCTTGAAGATTGTATAGTAATTTGTTGAATGTTGTGATCATTGAAGAGTAACTAGAAAATCCTGATACTGCTACAACTGGCAACCAATGATCTTTACGCAGTGTATGTGGCCTTAACCTTTCATCTTGTATTTGATCAAGTGCTTTATTCTAATTTAATATGTACATGTAATTTTTTTTTATCAATACACATTGTATTGTAATGGTTTTTTTATTTGTGAAAAATTGAATAAAATAATTAAATAAAATATTTTTTATTAATGTGTTTTTTTTTATTTACATTATTACATCCTTTTTGAAAATTTGCACAATTACTATTATGTGTCTTTTGTTTCAGTGTACAAGGGAGAATGTTGAAAGATGACTTTTAAAAATACCTGTAATGCTCTACCAATTGTAATTAATACTTGCGATGTTTGAAGGTGTTTATAAAGAAATATTTGATCTATTCTTCTCTTACTTACAAATTGTAAAAATGACATTTTTTTTAAAAAAAAAATTTTTCTGATGATCGGCAAGTATACCGGGTATACCGTTGGTTGGTACTTGCTTTGAGGAAATTTTCAATCTGTACGAAGAGTTCTAATTAGTATATTCAGGGGTCCTAGTGTTATATTTTCTTCATTTACTAATTATTATTGTTAGATGATAAAATCAACATCACTTATTCATATTGGGATGGAACTGGTCATCGAAAAACCGTTACATGTAAAAAAGGTGACTCGATCTCAGCATTCCTAGAAAAATGTAGGCAACAATTTCATGAGTTACGTGGTGTTAGTGTTGATAATTTACTATATGTTAAAGAGGACTTGATTATTCCACATGTAAGTCACATTCTTTTATTTCTCAATAATAGATATTTATCTATTAATGCTTATTATATATGTGTTTATTATGTATATACAGCATTATACATTTTATGATTTTATTGTTAATAAAGCAAGAGGTAAATCTGGTCCCTTGTTTAATTTTGATGTACATGATGATGTTAGATTAACTCATGATGCAACTGTTGAAAAAGATGAGGTAAAAAAATTTTTTTGATTAATAAAAAGTAACTTTTTTCACACCTAATAATGATTTTAATTCAATAGTCACATGCAGGCATGGTAGTTGAAAGAAACTGGTATGAAAAAAATAAGCATATTTTCCCGGCAAGTAGATGGGAAATTTACGATCCTGAAAAAAATGTATGTAAATTTTTTTTATAATATTAAAATATGGTAACGTAATGTAATACATTATATTATCATAATAATAACTAATCAATTTGATTTTATTTTATTTAAAAAAAAAATAGTATGGAAAATATACTATCAAATAATTATATTGTAAAGTTTTACAAGTTAGACATACATAATAGAATGATATAAAATAATTATTTCAACTATATAAGAATTAAGAAATTAAGAAATTAATATCAACTTAATCTATTGATAATAAATTTATTTAATTATTGAACAATATTTAATTCTTTAAATATGCCAAAAAAATGAACTTCATGTATGGGCTCAGATGATATTTCTTCATTAGGTAATTTGCCATAATCGTCCTTAATGAATGATCTAAATTCACGCACATGAAATTAAAATTAGTCAATCAGAATTTTGTAAAAATCTTTTAATTATAAAGTTTCAAACTTCACAACATATAAAATAAAATAAAATTTCCGAGAAACCCGGCGATCACTGTATCTATAAGTTTTGGAACATTAATCGATTCTGTCGCTTCTTTTTCTGTAAGTAAATAAATAATAATACAATTAAAGTAGCATGGTGAGCATCTTTCTTTTTACTAGTGATAGAAATTCAAGATCAAAATATTCTAGTTGATATTATGTAATAATACTACTATTAATAATAAATTATTAAAGGGTATGTACACTCCCCTACAAAAAATATCCGACCACTTGTGCTGTGTAACGTCAAATGAAAAAAGTACTTGCTAAATAAAGTACGTTTTCTTAAATAAAACCTTTTCTGCTATACTAAGTAAACTCA